TAGTGTATTACGAAACGATTAAAGAGACTTGCCGGTAACGAGATTGAACTAGGTATTGGGACACCGACGATCGAATCTTGGGCAAGTAACATACCGATGACAAAGAGAACAACGTATAGTGTTATGCGGTTTGACCGATAAAGATCCTCATAGAATATGTAGGAACCAATATGAGCATCCAGGTTCCGCTATTGGTTATTGACCGGAGACATGTCTCGATCATGTCTACATAGTTCTCGAACCCGTAGGGTCCGCACGCTTAAAGTTCTGTGACGATCGGTTTTATGAGTTTATATGTTTTGATATACCGAAGGTAATTAGGAGTCCCGGATATGATCACGGACATGACGAGGAGTCTCGAAATGGTCGAGACATAAAGATTGATATATTGGAAGCCTACATTTGGACATCGGAAGAGTTCCGGGTAAAATCAGGATTTTACCGGAGTACCAGAGGGGTTACCGAAACCCCCCGGGGGCTAATGGGCCTTGTTGGGCCATAAGGGAAAGAGAGAGGGGCCAGCCTAGGGCAGGCATCGCGCCCCCTCCCTCTGGTTCGAATTGGACTAGGAGGGGGGGGGGGCGGCGCCCCCCTTTTCCTTCTCTTTCTTCCCCTTCCTTTCCCCCTCCTAGTAGGAGTAGGAAAGGGAGGAATCCTACTCCTACTAGGAGGAGGATTCCTCCTCCTGGCGCACCAACAAGAGCTGGCCGGCCTCCCCATTGCTCCTTTATATACAGGGGCATGGGGCACCTCTAGACACACAAGTTGATCACAAAGATCTCTCCCAGCCGTGTGCGGTGCCCCCCTCCACCATAATCCACCTCGGTCATACTATAGCGGTGTTTAGGCGAAGCCCTGCTGCGGTAGCTTCATCAACATCGTCACCAAGCCGTCGTGCTGAAGAAACTCTTCCCTAAGCTCTACTGGATCGTGAGTTCGCGGGACGTCACCGAGCTGAACGTGTGCTGAACGCGGAGGTGTCGTACGTTTGATACTGAGGATCGTTCGATCGTGAAGATGTACAACTACATCAACGCGTTGTCATAACGCTTCCGCTTAACGGTCTACGAGGGTACGTGGACGACACTCTCCCCTCTCGTTGCTATGCATCACCATGATCCTGCGTGTGCGTAGGAATTTTTTTGAAATTACTACGTTCCCCAACAACTTGACCATGACGAACCTACGAACTATGAGGAATTGATGATGAGCCCAGATTCCGCAAAATGGCTTGAAGCCATGAAATCTGAGATGGGATCCATGTATGAGAACAAAGTGTGGACTTTGGTTGACTTGCCCGATAATCGGCAGGCCATAAAGAATAAATGGATCTTCAAGAAGAAGACCGACGCTGACGGTAATGTTACTGTCTACAAAGCTCAACTTGTTGCGAAAGGTTTTCGACAAGTTCAAGGAGTTGACTACGATGAGACCTTCTCACCGGTAGCGATGCTTAAGTCCGTCCGAATCATGTTAGCAATTGCCGCATTTTATGATTATGAAATTTGGCAAATGGATGTCAAAACTGCATTCCTTAATGGATATCTGAAAGAAGAGTTGTATATGATGCAACCAGAAGGTTTTTTCGATCCAAAAGGTGCTAACAAAGTGTGCAAGCTCCAGCGATCCATTTATGGACTGGTGCAAGCCTCTCGGAGTTGGAATATACGCTTTGATAGTGTGATCAAAGCATATGGTTTTATACAGACTTTTAGAGAAGCCTGTATTTACAAGAAAGTGAGGGAGCTCCGTAGCATTTCTGATATTATATGTAGATGACATATTTTTAATCGGAAATGATACTGAATTTCTGAATAGCATAAAAGGATACTTGAATAAGAATTTTTCAATGAAAGACCTCGGTGAAGCTGCTTATATATTGGGCATCACGATCTATAGAGATAGATCAATACGCTTAATTGGACTTTCACAAAGCACATACCTTGATAAAGTGTTGAAGAAGTTCAAAATGGATCAGGCAAAGAAAGGGTTCTTGCATGTATTACAAGGTGTGAAGTTGAGTCAGACTCGATGCCCGACCACTATAGAAGATAGAGAGAAAATGAAAGGTGTTCCCTATGCTTCAGCCATAGGCTCTATCATGTATGCAATGCTGTGTACCAGACCTGATGTGTGTCTTGTTATAAGTCTAGCAGGGAGGTACCAAAGTAATCCAGGAGTGGATCACTGGACAGCGGTCAAGAACATCCTGAAATATCTGAAAAGGACTAAGGATATGTTTCTCGTATATGGAGGTGAAAAAAAGCTCGTCATAAACGGTTACGTCGATGCAAGCTTTGACAATGATTCGGATGACTCTAAGTCACAAACCAGATACGTGTTTTTATTAAATGGTGGAGCTTTCAGTTGGTGCATTTTCAAGCAGAGCATCGTGGCGGGATCTACGTGTGAAGCGACATACATAGCTGCTTCGGAAGCAGCGAATGAAGGAGTCTGGATGGAGGAGTTCATATCCGATCTAGGTGTCATACCTAGTGCATCGGGTCCAATGAAAATCTTTTGTGACAATACTGGAGCAATTGCCTTGGCAAAGGAATCCAGATTTCACAAGAGAACCAAGCACATCAAGAGACACTTCAATTCCATCCGTGATCAAGTCAAGGAGGGAGACATAGCGATTTGCAAGATACATGCAGATCTGAATGTTGCAGACCCATTGACTAAGCCTCTCTCATGAGCAAAACATGATCAGCACCAAGACTCCATGGGTGTTAGAATCATTACAATGTAATCTAGATTATTGACTCTAGTGCAAGTGGGAGACTAAAGGAAATATGCCCTAGAGGCAATAATAAGTTGTTATTTATATTTCCTTATATCATGATAAATGTTTAGTATTCATGCTAGAATTGTATTAACCGAAAACTTAGTACATGTGTGAATACATAGACAAACATAGTGTCACTAGTTTGCCTCTACTTGACTAGCTCATTGAATCAATGATGGTTATGTTTCCTAACCATAGACATGAGTTGTCATTTGATTAACGGGATCACAACATTAGAGAATGATGTGATTGACTTGACCCATCCGTTAGCTTAGCACGATGATCGTTTTGTTTTGTTGCTATTGCTTTTTCCATAACTATACATGTTCCTATGACTATGAGATCATGCAACTCCCGAATATCGGAGGAACACTTTGTGTGCTACTAAACATCACAACGTAACTGGGTGATTATAAATGTGCTCTACAGGTGTCTCCGATGGTGTTTGTTGAGTTGGCATGGATCAAGATTAGGATTTGTCACTCCGATTGTCGGAGAGGTATCTCTGGGCCCTCTAGGTAATGCACATCACTATAAGACTTGCAAGCAATGTAGCTAATGAGTTAGTTACGAGATGTAGCATTACGGAATGAGTAAAGAGACTTGCCGGTAACGAGATTGAACTAGGTATTGAGATACTGACGATTGAATCTCGAGAAAGTAACATACCGATGACAAAGGGAACAACGTATACCGTTATGCAGTTTGACCGATAAAGATCTTCGTAGAATATGTAGGAACCAATATGAGCATCCAGGTTCCGCTATTGGTTATTGACCGGAGATGAGTCTCGGTCATGTCTACATAGTTCTCGAACCCGTAGGGTCCGCACGCTTAACGTTCAGTGACGATCGGTATTACGAGTTTATGTGTTTTGATGTACCGAAGGTAGTTCGAAGTCCCGGATTTGATCACGGACATGATGAGGAGTCTCGAAATGGTCTATACATGAAGATCGATATATTGGAAGCCTGTATTTGGACATCGGTATGGTTCCGAGTGGTTCGGGCATTTTTTCGGAGTACTGGGAGGTTACCGAACCCCCCCGGGGAGTATATGGGCCTTATTGGGCCTTAGTGGAATAGAGGAGAGGGAAGGGAAAGGAGGGAGGCGCGCCCCCAAGCCCAATCCGAATTGGGAGGGGGGCCGGCCCCCCTTTCCTTCCTCCCTCTCTCCTCCTTCCTTCCTCTCCTACTCCTACTTGGAAGGGCTCCTACTTCTACTAGGAAAGGGGGGAATCCTACTCCTGGAGGGAGTAGGACTCCCCCAGGGTGCACCATAGAGAGGGACGGCCCTCCCCCTCCTACATTCCTTTATATACGGGGGAGGGGGGCACCCCATGGACACAAAAGTTGATCAGTTGATCTTTTAGCCGTGTGCGGTGCACCCCTCCACCATAATCCACCTCGGTTATATCGTAGCGGTGCTTAGGCGAAGCCCTGTTTCGGTAGCATCATCATCACCGTCATCACGCCGTCGTACTGACGAAACTCTCCCTCGAAGCTCTACTGGATCGTGAGTTCACGGGACGTCACCGAGCTAAACGTGTGCAGATCGCGGAGGTGTCGTACGTTCGGTACTAGGGATCGGTCGATCGTGAAGACGTACGACTACTTCAACCGCGTTGTCACAACGCTTCCGCTTACGGTCTACGAGGGTACGTGGACGACACTTTTCCCTCTTGTTGCTATGCATCACCATGATCTTGCGTGTGCGTAGGAATTTTTTTGAAATTACTGCATTCCCCTACACTGTATTACTGACATAGTGTTGTAAAGTTCTGTTCGGGGATAGATAGTGTTGGATGCCTTACAATATATTGTGCACTACCATCTCAATGATCTTACTAAAGGAGCATATACCCTACTACTTCATAGAGAGCTTTGATTCTTTCAGGAAAAATTACATTATATAATGGGACCAATTAGCCTTTTCAGTTGTCGACCAAGCGATGCCTGAAAGGTTGAAGCATAAGTAAACTAAAAATTTACTTGATTTTGAATGCACAGTGTACCCAAGTTTGGTTGTACCAGCTTTGCCCCCGTAGTTAGTTAGTTGTTCATCTTTGAGCTTGAAAGGTGAACTTTGCTCAGTTTGGAAATAACTTGAGCCACCTACCACTTTTGTCTCCCCAAGAATGGTTTGTGAACCGATATGAGTCAGTGATGTTGCATTGTTATTTTGGGTGTGAGTACCTACTGTGTGTAGTCGGTCACCATTTCTGCTCGAACTGTGAGGCAATAACAGTGTTGTTTGTCTCTCTCAATTCATTTTCCGTTTTCATCTCTTTGTTCTTCCCATTTCTCCTTTTCTTAACTTGCTTGTGTTCAAATTCATTCTGGTCATCTGATTTGTTCCCTGGATCTTGTTGATGTTCTTTGTAGCGGTTCATCAACACCGCTACAAAAGGGGAACATGTTGTCACAACTCCAGTTAAGAGGAATAATCCCCCAAAACTTTCAAAAGTGATAGCGCCTGAACCATCAAGTGTGCCATCATTTTCATGGGTATTTTGATCTATCCATTTCTTTTCAAATTGAATGATAGTATCTCCTCCTGTTATGTTGAGTATCGCCCTTGACATCTCAGCACATAGTGGAGAATTCCTGGGAAGCGCCTAATTAGCAATGAGATAATTGTTATAAGATGTGCATGCTAACATATAATGTCCCACTAACAACATTGACTCGGTAAAATCCTGAAAACTTTTTTTCTAATATAATATGCAACTAATATGAGGGTTCTATTATTTAGCACTGCCATACCCCTCAATTAATCGTTCAAAAAGTTGCTTAAATAGCACAAAAATCCAGTAAACTCTTTCAGGCTTAGTTTGTGATTGTTGTGGAGCATCATGTACTTACTTTTAAAGTTGGTGTAAAAAGGTTGTGAAAAGTCTATTGATCTGTTGGTAAATCAAATCAGAGTTTTTTTTGCGGGATAAATCAAATTAGAGTTAGATGAAGTATTATCAAAGTTGATCTCCCACATGAGATCTCATATGTTTTCAAATGCAAATATGCTATTTGATTAGAAAAAGAGAGATAGTCAAACACCTAGGTATCCAAAAATAAACCAACCGACAAAGACTATTTATCATAATGCAGGTCAATTCCAAAAAGAGCCTTAGTGTGATGAGTTACAAATATCAGCTCAGGTTAATGTTTCCGATAGTAAACATATGGAGTTATGTTGTTATATGTGATTGTTTCGCCAAGCCTCTTATATATATGTTGTTCGTGTATTGTAGCTAAATTTATTAAAAAGATTATTGTGTTCATTTTGCTATTTATTTTCTTATCTGTTGTTACCAAATTGGTTGCAACAATTCTTGTAATAAAATTCCATCATTCCATTGGGACGCTATTAGATAATCATACTATCTATTTATCTTTGATTTTTCAACATATATTTATATATTTACAAGTTTGAATTTTAAACTACAATCTTGTGGTAATATGGTACTAGAAGAGAATAGTGAGATTAGTTAAACTTACAAATGCAAAACCTGCACTCTTGTATATAGGCCCCACCATTACGTAACCTTTGTTGTACTTTGCGAGGAACAGTTTGATGTATGGGACGTCAAGTACAACCGCAACAATGCTTCCATTAGAAAGAGCACTATAGAAATCTTCAAGTGTTGCATAGGCCCTGAGCTTAGATGTATCAAAACCAATTTCCACCAGTAGACCCTCTATATAAGAACCTTGGTGGAACCCTACATATTCTCCATTCTTTTGGAGTTCATGAACATCAGTCACTGTTGGTGAAAGCTTATGTACAGTAAGCATTGATGCAAAGCTTGCTGTATAACTTGCTGCAAGTACCAGAAGTACAACCATCCATACACGCAAAACAATTCTAGGTAGAAAGCATTCTAGCTTCTCCTCTGTAGAAATAACAATCATTCTTTATTAAGAAACATAAGAAATTTTGAAGCTGGAATGCAATGCACGACATTTCAGGACTTGCTAGAAGGTATATGAATATTTGTTTATATGATTAGTGCAAGTTATGCCATCATTTTTTAACTAATTCAAATAACGAATAATGTCTATATTTTATCTGTAATGAAGTGCAATTAAGAAGAACATGTGCATTGTTGATTTTTTTTCTAGAAAATACAAGCTTGGGTTAGTTCACCCCCCACCTTGATTCTTCGTATTGTGTTTATTGAGCATTATTAAGTAGGAAGATCAAGTTTTTGTGTTGTTGAATTTTTAAAATAAAATTAAGTACCATAGATTCCTAGAGATGTTTAGTCAGCTCAGTGTAGTAATCTATTGATGATTCCTCTTATTTTGACATAGTGCAACACATGCTTTGTCTATGCGACTAAAATACTTGTTCAAAATTCTACCAAGATCAAAGAAACTATAACAGTACTCACTCTCTTCAAAAATGGAGAATATTGTAGTCGCCAGTTGTTTGAGTGAAAAGGGACCATGCACATGTTCATTGCCATTTAGATACTCCAGCAGCCAGACAACAACTCCGGTGTACATAAATAATACGATGCTGCCAAACCACATCTCAGTGCTCAATGGTTTCAAGAAAAGCCACACATCCTTCATCACGTTTTCCTTCACTGGAACAATCATCCCTACTCCAGACTCTGTGTATGGTACAGTGAAGTCGACATATAATGATCCGTTGTATCTTATAGTAATATCTGCAACCGCTATGTCGTATTCCTACAATGACACTAGTCAGACTTTTATACTTGAGAAAAAGACGAATAACTATATTTTATGATTGACTAAACAATATAAGCTCAATTGTTAACAAAGAGAATATTTTAGCAATATAGACTTTTGGTGTGCTTTGGGGAAGAAAACTAGAGTGAGCATTTATGGTTGGCCTCCCTTTGTCTATACTTGAAGTAATTGTAGCGTGAAAGTAGAAAAAACACTGGAATGAAAATGCAGAATGGATTTAATACGTGATAAAATATTTGAGCTACTAGAGTTATTTTTTCACAATGAAATGTATGCACATGATAAATTGAGAATTTTCCTTGTCTAAAGTATTTCTTACCTGAAGATAAACATGATAAACAAAATCATTGTAGCTCCCTGTATCAGCTGTGTCAAATTCTAGGTACTCATAAGAAAGTGGAAAAGGTAGCCTCTTTACTGCCTCCTCAAATATGTCAATTGTAAGGCCACTCACTGTTGTTTCATTTTTGACAGGATCTTTGTATGTCTTTATAAACTCCGGAATTTTGCTTGAACGCACACCAACTCTAAGCTTCTTGCCAACGGTAGGAATTTCCCAGCCCATTGGTATTTTGGTTGACTCTCCGGGCCAAATTACAGGATTTAGATCATGCATTGAGTGTTGTCCTGTTTTTTTGAAGCCATCTTGCTTTAACTGTCGTGAAAGTCCACTTTTCACAGTCCAAAATCCAATTTCTCTCCAACCTCTTCCAACAACATTTATTATCTGGAACACATAAGTTTTATGTTGTTGTCTATCTGTAAGGTCAAACTCACCACTGAAACCTCTGAACTTATTTTGTACAATTGTCTTTAAGAGTTCATGACCCTTAGTGGAAATAATCATGGATTCCAAGTATGTGGAGTTTTTAGTGGACAATGGTGGCTTGTTTGTGATATTGGATACTCCAACCTTTTCTACTGCTCGTGCCAATGCCCATATTGTATCATAGCCCCATAGCCCAACAATGCTTAGTTTATTGGAGGGTGATTCATCTGGGTTATCCTGCAAGTACATTATGTTCCACCTTTTGGATAAGTTATCAAGTTCTTGCGATCTGGGAACATGATACCTTACTCCAAGCACACCATTCATTGCCTCAATGACACTTGGATTGAGTGTGTCCATGATGTTTGCCACTCCACTTGTGGTAATCCACACAAATCCTTGGTTCATCATCCCTACCTCTTTGGCCTTCATAAAAAGAAGGGAAGTCATAGTGGATGACATATGAACAATAAATACCCTTGTTTGCATTGCCATCAACTCATTTAGTTTTTTTATAATGGTCTCACTTGTTGCCGATGAAGGGATAACACTACGATATGGAACACGAACATCAATGTTTTGAAGTGCATCAGTGAGGTATGGTACAATGCCTCTCCCGTAGTCAGTGTCATCATATACTGCTACCACTTCTCTCCATCCATATGCTTGTACAAGCGAGGCAATGCTATTCACCTGAGCCGAGTCATCTGGTCTTGCTCGTACAAAATAGGGCATACTATCACAAGTGAGAGAGGGGCTTGTTGCTGTGAATGATACTATGGGGACTTGGGTTATATTTCCAAGTTTGGATATGAACACAACTTCTGATGATTTCTGGGGACCAATAATGGCTTGCACTTTGTAATTCTCTAGTAATTCAATAGCTTTGGGAAGGGCAGAACAAAGAAAATGATGGTTAGATAATATCTATGGAATAGTCTGTAGTACTCAACAACATAATCAACTATTTCAAAATTGGAAGAAGGTTGGAAAAAACTTAGTTTTGGACCTTCCAGTTTTCTGAGTCAATACTCTAATTTAAAATCTTGCCTCTATACTCCCCAGACATAACAAATAGCCAAATAATGTTACACGAAGCTGATATTTGACAATACAAACATGTCAAGAAAATAAAAAAAATCTGAACTCTTATCAGGAAACACAATAGGGAACTAGACCCTACTGTTTTTCCACATATATTAAAAATATAAGGGTAATAGTGTAACACCCAAAAACCTCTTACTCCCTTGGATCCAAAGTTAGTGTCGCAGTTTTGAACTGGGGTTAGTTCAAAACTGTGGCACCTATTATGGATCAAAGGTAGTATTTGTTTTCCTCATACTTGGATGACTTGTATGGACTTGGTTGATGCTTTATCTATAAAGTGGGGCAAAAGCCTATTTCTGAACAAAATAGTGTAACACCATGGAGAGATATTTACTCCCTCCGCTCCAAAATACATTCCATATTCGTAAGCAAACTTCATAAAGTTTGAGATGTCACTCTTCAATGTCACCCTTATGCTCTATAGGGCAACTCGGGCGACAATTTAGCTATATCTATAGAGCAGGGTGAAAGCCTGTTCTCTAAACTTTATAAAGTTTGACTAAGTTTATAGAAATTTACAATACCAAATCAATCCATAGTGAAATATATTTCCATATTGTATTTATTTCGTATTGCAAATGTTTATATATTTTCAATATAATTTTAGTCAAACTTAACATATTTTAGCTTAAGACAAAACCAATATGCAATGCATTTTGGAACAGAGGGATTACAAGCAAATTGTATTCAAAATGCGAGATACAAGTCAAGAATATGAACCCGCCCAATTAGAAATGCCAGAGTCGAGTTTCTGAGGTATTCTAACTATTAACAAACTTATGCGAAATGACATGAGTAAAATGTACTCCTTTCGTTGCACTTTTTCTGTGAAAATGCAAAGCTTTCATATCGTTACATAGGTAGAAAGAACTCATGTATGTTGTTACCTCTCATCTCACAATTGGTTCTAGATTGTTACGGATGTTGGTTGCCGTGTATTTTGACTGTCCGGTTTCAAATCTTGAACTTAAATTTCGTATTACAACATTCTATTTATAGTACAAAATTACAATTAGAATATAATGCATTTAAATAGCAATCTAAATTCCAATTGCATCTAGATTATATACCATAATCCATGTATTATTGGATTAATTGTTGGCTGGTGCATGTCTTTGTACAGGCCAAGTATGCCATATGTTTTTCCATCGAGGTACTAATTTTCTATTTCCTATGGAATTATATCATTGACTTGTGGAGGTTTTCAATACATGTTTTTAGTAACACATTAACAACGATGAGGTTCTAAATTTTGCTTATCAATTGAGAGTGTGGAGAGCTTGAACATGTTTTAATTTCAATTTTGAGGCCATACTATAATAGGGGATTGCTTGATTGAGCCTGTTAGGAGAAGTTAATATGTCACTCAAGAATGGGGTTTCAGCTAGAAATAGACCACCTTTTAATTAAAAAACACCTTTTCTGTATTATGATTTTCATACATTTTGCATTTGGTCTAAGATCTCTCAACTATTCCCAACTAAACTGGAAGCATCAGGAATATCATATTTTCAAATTAAAAAGAGATGATGGCTCGGTAGTGAGTGATGCTAGATTCAAAGATAACATCACAAACTGTTATAAGGGGTTGTTTGATTCGTCTGAGCACAACAATATTATGATGTCTACAGCTTTTGGGTAAGATGTCCCTCAACTTTTCATGGCAGAAAATAAATTCCTCACTACTCCTTGCATGAAAAGTGGGGTTTGGGATGCTATCTCTTGGATAGAACATAATAAAGCCCTTGGACCGGATGAATTTCTGGCCGAGTTTTACCAGGTATTTTGGGAGGTAATAAAAGTTGATTTGATGGATCCATTCCATGCATTTCATAGCAGTGACCTACCACTGTGTAATCTCAACTTTGGGGTAATTAACTTGCTTCCAAAATTTAAAGAGGCCGTGCGAATTCAGAGGCTGATTGGTTTGCTACCAAGATTTGGCAAAATTAAAAGTTGCCAACATTGGCAACCTTTTGTGAGATTGACAGTGAAAATTGGTAACCAACCAATCTCTAGCCAAAATTTGGCATATGCCAAAATCTGGTATGTCAACTTTTGGTGTCAGACTAATTAGGCTCTCAACACTACAAACACATTTGCCTGCTAAACACGAGGTTCAAAGTATTCACTAAACTGGCAACAAATAGAATATTAATCGGGCTGTTGATCACATGGTTCGTCCAACTCAAATGATATTCATTAAGTGTAGAAACATTCTTGGAGAAATTCTATTTCTTCTTGAGATTGTTCGCGAGCTCCATCATACATGGGAGGAGTGATTTTTAAAATTGATTTGACAAAGCGTGCCATAAATTTAAGTGACCTTTTCTTCTTCAGACCCTCCAGATGAAAGGATTTTCACCATCTTGCTGCAAGTTGGTGAAAAGGTTTACTTTTCCGAAGGAAGTGTTGGCACCAATGTTAGCAATAATTTAGAGCCACATTCCTAATGAAAAGGACCTATGTCAGGGGGGGGGGTCCTCTTTCCCTGTCCTTTTTAATGTAGTTGACCGAGAGAGCCAAGTCAGCGGATCTTATTAATGGGATGGTGCTTCATCTGGTGGATGGCGGATTATCTATTCTATAGTACGCGGATGATGCATCGTATTTATGGATCTTGACATCCGAAAGGCAATGAAAGATAACCCTAAAACTAGCTTGGTACATTTGAGCAAAGATACTGCTTTCATAAAAGTAAGATATTTTACTTTAACGAGGCGCATGAAGCAGCCGATCCGTACACTAGAATGAGCGTCTAGAAATGACTAGTAGTTGGACAGTCAAGCAATTTATCCTTAGGCATTGTTCGGTTGAGTGTGGATCCGAGTGGATTGAAGAGGATTTAAACCCCTTGTAAGTCAAAATACGTCCCAATCCACGCCAATCCCCTCCAATCCTCTCGGGAGAGGAGTGACCGAACAAGCCCTTAGGATATAGGCTAGTCCTGATCAATTAGATTCTTAAGCCAATGTATATGTATATGATCTCTTTCTTAGGCCAATTTTTATATTTACGAAGTAGTAGCAAATAAAATCCTTTGATATTTCCGAATCCTGACGACGTGACATACTGCCTAGTGCATACACACGTACTATGTACCTGCTGATGCGGCCTTGATGTCACTGCCCATGGAGTCCCTAACGTGGAGAACAAGCTTGGTGCTGTAGTTCCGGTGGGCCGCGTAGAAGTCTTGAACGGCCAGCAAAACGCTGGTTCGCGCCACCTTTCCCACCGGCGATCCCAGGTCGAGGATCACCCCGACATGGAATCCATCTGTTTTGCCGGTGGTGTTCTGGGCGACGCCGAAATCGACAGCGAGTAACAGGAAGAGGATGATGGCTCCGCGTGCTCTCTCCATCACACTTTTCTTGTGCTGAGATGCACTGATTGCACCCTCTTATATGCATCAAGGAGGACGCTGGTGGTCAAACTGAGAGTAGCGACTGGCTGATTTGTGACAGGTTAGTTGTTTAACCTTGGTCACTGGACTTTGGGGTGTGTTCTATTCGCGGCCAAACTACGGGAAATTCAACCGGAATTGCCTCTGGATAAATGAATTCTCGCATGCATGAGACGACAAGTGGGATCAAAGATACACGGTACGAATCGGTCCATGGAACCTGCGCGCACACGTTCAACGCGGATTGACTTTGATCCTTAGTTTGTCCGCGCGAACGAGTGATCTTTTTATATATGTGCAGTCATGTGAGAGCTCATTTAAAAATCGTCAATCAAGAATTATAAGTTCCTAAACACCATCAGAGGTGGGCGACGATTGGGAGGAACCGATACACCATGACAATACGAATCACTTGAAAAATAAACGTATTCGTTCCGTTGTAAAGAACCTTGAACCTGACCTTGCGGGGGTAGACGCGTGTGATGTGAATGGTGTTGGTCCTCCCGTATACCTTCACACACATCGGACACGACGCTTGGTGAGGCAGACCCGGTGCACAAGTCTATCCAACGTCCAGCACAGGTCTTGGAGGGCCATGCGAAAAGCTTGACTTTGAGAGGGGCCCACGGCTTACACGCCAACATGTGCCACTTGCACAAGACCATGCCCTCCAAGACCAGGCGATAGCCTATCCCGCAGGAGCGCAACTGATGGCCTACAAATGCATATGGTTGAGTTGTAGCATTTTTGAAATAAAAGTATCGATTCGAGAGAGAGCTTTGGAAAATGATATTTGACTCTTATAGAGGTTTATCGGAAAATGATATGTGCATACTACCACAATTCCGTGTCATGCACGCCACCAGTGTTCCTCCCTACTGGATAGACGCAACAACGATTAAAGGGGCTCCCATGGACACAACTAAATACAGTCTCTGTTATTCCCCTATCTATGTTCGACGAACGAGGGTGCTAGGTGATACGTCTCAAACGTATTTATACTTTTTTATTGTTTCATGCTATTATAATATCATTTTTAGATACTTTTTATAATAATTTATATTATTATTTTTGAACTACCCTACTAATTCAGTGCCCAGAGCCAGTTGTTATTTTATGCATGTTTTTGATTTGCAAAAAAATATATCATATTTGTGAAGCTAAACGGGGATTTACAAGGATTTATTTTGGAAAATAAGAGACCCAAGGGACCTAGACCCACCTGGAGAGGAGCTCCAAGGGCTCCAGACGGTTGCCCCATGCAGGTACCCTAAACCCCAAACCATAACCTTAACCCTAAACTCTTGTGACGCCCCCGATTTGACTGTACACTCATCATACACGTAAACGTGTACGATTAAGATCAGGGACTCATGGAAAGATATCACAACACAATTCTAAAAATAAAATAAGTCATACAAGCATCATATTACAAGTCAGGGCCTCGAGGGCTCGAATACAAGAGCTCGATTATAGACGAGTCAGCGGAAGCAACAATATCTGAGTACAGACATAAGCTAAACAAGTTGCCATAAGATGACTAGCAACAATACAAAAGTCCTGGTCAAGATCATCCGTGGCAGTAGGCAAATGTGTAAATTCGCATAGAGTGTAGGAAACACGCTCGCTTCCTGGTCGCTCCCGCGGGCGGCCGGGAGCGAACCCTAGCCGCCAGCAGCGCAGCACCCACCTCCCCCGCCTCCCCTCGCCGCCGCCGGACAGCGTCGCCAGGCAAAGCCCGTGCGGCTCGGCGATGGCGGGGCCCTTTCCTCCTTCTGGTCGGAGCGGCGCGGCGCGGGCCGTCCTCTTCGACGGGAGCTCGGCCGGCGGTGATGCTAGCTCGAGGCGGTGCGGCAAGGTAGCGCAGGGGCGGGTCAGGCGCGCTTCGGGGCTGGCTGGCGCGGTTCTACGCGCGGCGGCTCGCCGCGGGCGTTGGCACGGGCGCACGGAGCGGAGGGCGCAGATTTAAGCGGGTGACGGAGAGGAGCGTGATGGGGTTGCGTGGGCGCCGCGGCGAGGTCGCGCCGCGCGTGCGTGGCGGCTCGGGCGGCCATTTGTGGTCGTGCGCTGCTGGGTACCCTGCTCCGCGGCGTGAGGGGCTTGAGAGGAGCTGGGACGAGGTGCTGCTGCACGGCAAGGTGCTGCACAAGGGGTCCGGCGGCGCGGATCTATCGCCGGGAGGTTGCGCGACGGCGCGGTGAGGGGCTGCTGCTCAGGCAGCATGGTGGAGCGGCTTCGCTATAAGGATGCAGGAGCAACAGCTTCGGATCTGCTCGGATTCAGGTGGAGCCGGTGGACGTCGACCATGGGGATTTTGTGCTGTGCAGTGCTCCGGATCTGCTCGGATTCGAAGGTGTGGAGGAGCTCCGGGCGAAAGTCCAACACTGACCTTGGGTCGGTGCCGGCAACAGCGGCGCCATGGCCATGGTGCCGTTCCCCTTCTTGAAGGTGTTGCCGTGGAGCTCCATTACACGACTCTCCGGGAGAAATCCCTAGCTTCGGATGGCCGAAGCGGGTGATGATGGCGGCTACGTCATTTCCTTCTTTGAGGCATCGCCTTGGAGAGTCAGCATGTTGCAGTTTGCACGGATCTCTTCGTCGTCGGGGACAGTGGACGTCGGGGCGGCGGCTCCGGGTGATTTCTGATTGTGCGTCGAGATGGCGATCTCGGGAACAATGTGAGTGGCAGCTCTATGAGGTGGGGCTCTATCTCGACATTGGTTGGGTGGCATCCTTGTCCCACTTGGGCGGTAGGGGTGTCGGCTCGGTCGATGCGCCCCAGAGGGGGCAGTTTGACTTTATGTCGGGGTGGCGGCCCCGGATGTGGTGCGGCGTTCGTGGTCTGCGAGCGGTTGCCCTGAGCAGCGTGGGCTGCGGGCAGCTGGGTTGTGCGGTGTTGCTGCTCGAGGGGAGCGGTGGTATGTCAGGGCGGCGGCCCCGAGAGAATCTCTGTGGCGATCAGACTTCTGTGACAACGATAATGGTGGGAGCGATGTCGGCGACACGACAATGGTTGCGGTAGTCGACTCTTCTCTGGCGTGTCCACAGTTTTGCCTCGGTTTGCTTGTTGCTGTGGAGTCGAAGTTGCGGCGGCGGGGCCCTGTGGTGTACGATGACTGGCTGCAGGTGGCCCGTTCGGCGATCTTCTGTGGCGCCAGCCGTGCCTGGTTTTGTTCTTCTGAGTTCTCCGTCTGAGTCAGAGCTGCATTGTCTGGCCGTAGGTCGACTTGTCGTCGATTAAGGTGAACTTTGCCCTGTGTGTTTCAGTCTATGGAGTGGGTTTGGTTCTTGTTGTCCCGGTTTTTGCCCGGTTTTATGTAATTAACTAGGTAATTCTTTTCTGCTTAATTAATAGATGACGCAATATTTGCCTTCGTTTTGAAAAAAAAAAGTCCTGATCAAGTTTGTTTGTCCTTGTGAATATATTGGCATCAAGTGATCATTTAAGCTCGGCTCACCCATCAGGATCACAATTAGTTGTTCCTTTTGAATTCACGGTGATGTTGCTACGATATTTATGGCAATGTTAGATGCAGTAAGATGGCAGTGATGAGCCAATGGCAGGGATGAGCCGGAGATGGCGGGAACTGTAAAACTGTCAGGTTTCTTCAGTTAACGCCTCAAGGTATGCATTTCTGCAGAGATCTTCGGGACTAGGTTGCGTAAGTGGTTTGGTTCGAGGCCGGTGATGGATCCATCCTTGTGATGTACCGATGCTCGTGCTTCAGTTGTTGGTGTCATCATAGTCTTGGTAGTCCTTCTGTGCGTGTTGTTATGGTTGGGCTACAAGTTCTCTTCTACAAGTTTTTTTTTTAGAAAAGGAGGATGAACCCCGGCATCTACATCTGGGAGATGCATACGGTCATTTTATTGATTATTCTCGAGGACCTTACAAAGTAGTACAACAATATGTTTGAATCCGCCATCTTGGCAACATATGCCACTACTCCTATCCATATGATGAAGGGGGTGCAAGCTGGGCCAAATACCCAGACCTCTCACCTAAGCCTAACATCTAAAATCGGAGGCCTCGACCGAGCCACATACCAGGTCCGGGGCACAATCCGGTCTGACGCACTCACATGTGTCGTCGCCACCATCTTCCACTGGTCCATCTTCAGAGCAGATTGAGGTGCCAACCTTGGCAGGATCCTCCGCCATCGACGCCATCAAGACGCCAAATGACGACCACCATCTACGCTAGTCCATCTCCAAGCAGAAGGAGCGCTACCACAGGACGAAGACCGGCGGAGAATAGGTGAAACGCTGCACACAATGCCGCCGCCAAACTCCTCACACGCACCGCAAAGCGCCCACCATGCTTCCGGGAACCCCGGGCGACGCCTTCAAGAAGGAGCGCGACGAGGGTACGACGCCGTCGCCCGCAAGGGGAACTAGAGCTTTCGCCCAAAGGAAGATCACGGTGAAAGACGAGAGAGGACCTCGACAAGGCCTCCAAGAATGGGATCGACGCCCAGCAAAGGCGTCGCCATTGTCGTGGCCTCCGCCGACGGCCAAGGGTTTCCCCCGGTCCCGCCCCCATCCCATCCACCCAGCCAAAGACCTGGCCAGGGGAGCGCACGCAGCCGGAGAAAGCGTTGGACTTCATCGAAGCAGGCATGTCGGGTGATGGGGCACCCCGACCCACTGTAGTAGACGTCCACCGAGACCTCGCCGCCCGCACGGCCGAAGTCGTGGACCACCAGCACCCACGACCGTCACCCGCCGAAGAGGCAACGCCGTCCACACCGCCCGAGACCGCCGCCCCGGCATCCACCCACCGCACACATCTCGTTGAAACATGGAGAACGACCCACACCACCGCCACCAGGGAGCACCACACCGCGATCATTCAAGCCGGGCAGGACGAGGCAAGGCCACGCCGGCCAGATCCGGGTGGATCCGGCGAAACCTGGCCCACCAGCCGCCAGATCGGAGTATGGCTCCGATCCCAGGGC